AGAGTAAAGTTTCGTCTTCACATCATAAACCAAGGTCCCGTGCAAAGACGGAAATTTAGTATATGCCACTTTAGACCTGATCTTGTAAATAAAAGGAAAGCCCGTGGGTGAAAGCTTTTTTCAGAACGGCCTTTGGATGTAAAAAGAATACGTCCATGTGAAATCCAAACACAATTGCACGGACTGCAATACATTTATCCATGATAAAGAGTCAATTTGAATCTTTAATATACGAAACAGAGTGCTATAAATCAGCAAGACATGGGTTATCACCTCCATTGACAATGAAATTCATAAGATGGAACACCTTCTGTGTTGTCCAACCATATTCAGGAACTCTGAGTTCAATTCTTATTAATTGAATCTGCAAATCAGAACCCCAGGTAGAAAGCCTCAGAAATTCAACGAACTATCAGCTCAACCAGCAGGGTAAAGAAGAATTCTAGATAAGCAGATAGCTATACAAACAACAACATAACAAACTTGATGCCCTAATACATACACCACGAACTCAGTCTCTAGTATAAATCACCAGAATGATTTTGACTCACCAGACCGATTGGACAGATAATAAGGATTAGTAAAACTTGCAAAACACTTTAAAAGTAGAATCACCCACAAAAATAGATAAATCTATTCCAGTATAGCGTAGGACGTAAGTATGACAGGTCACAAAAAAAAAAAAAAAAACTTGCGTGCTCCCTCCATTTCATAGCTTCATCACAACGCCACTATCCGCAAAAAGGAAATCGTACTGATTTTAACGAATTGGAACTCACTCAAACACGTGGAGAAAAAAAAGGCAGAAGTCAAAAAACCAAAATTCTTGTTCCTTAACGATCTCGATCCAAAGTAATACTCGCAGGAGCACGCAACATATACATACACATACATAAATAGAGTGACTGAGTGAAGGATAACAACCAGAGCAACTGAAGAAACTAGAGCATAAGCAGCGCATAAAGCGTAGAAGATCCCGTCCTGCCATCGAGGCGACTCGTTGATCTCATCCCACCAATTCGAAACCAGCGCTCCCGCCTCCATAGGCGTTAAGCTCACCGGCGTAGTCCTCATCCTGCAGATTTTCCCTGTTTCTTCCTCCGAGAAAATCCGGTAAAGTCAAAAGAACTCTCTCCTGTCCCGAGAGAAGCCGAGAGAGAAACGAGACAGTTTTGCCAAAACCGATAACGCAACAGGGAAAAGAAAAATTAAAAAGACAGAGAGGGAGATAAGAGAGAGAGAGAGAAAGAAGAGTTTTGCTCGCTCTACCAGACGGTCTGTAGAGAAGCGAGAACCAAAGTCAAAGGAGGAAGATACAGAGTTCAATTAATGGCACTGGTCACTGGTCGCTCCCACCTAAGCTTCTACCAGATCAACGCAAGAAGTTGCTGCCTCCCTCGTTGTTTGTACAACGCTCTCTTTAGAATTTAAAAATATAAAACTCATAATTTTATAAATATATTATAAAATTTTTTTAAAAAAATAAACAGCGAATTTTTTAAATTAAAATTCTTTTTTTATAAAAACAAAAAAAAAAATTTTAACCCAATAATTTATTTATTTAGGCTATAAGATTAATCAATATTTATTAATATAATTAACATTTAATAATTGAAAAAGACTTACTTTTTTATAAAATAATTAATCTGTGATAAATATTAAATTAATTAATATATTTGTTATGGCAGAGCAATTTATGTTTGAATTGAGAAAGATTTCGGACCCCTCGACAATGGGGTCCATATAATTTTGACGGGTTGCGACGCGAAATTTCTCGACTGACGAATGAAAGGGCGTGTTTGGCCGAAAGGGTTTGTCTCTCTGTTTTTATGTTGAAAAATGATATCTGTATGAGGTTTCGACCAAACACGGTTTTTGCCCGTATTAATATATTTATGATTACGTGCCCAAGTGAGGCATTAATTTATAAATATTTAGTAGGGTTATTACGATCATCATGATTTTGTGAATATTAATGTATTATAATAATGGAGACGATCATCATGATTATTTAAATTATTTAAATTATTTTTAAATTATATAAATCATTACTGCTATCTGAATATTTAATCCAACCATTTAAATTTGTGATTAGAACGTAATAAACACAAGTTAATATAACTCGAGTTTATTATTATTATTATTATTTTTTTTTGAAAAACTAAACGTTACAATCATATATTATATCAGAATACAATTTTAAAGATTATTTAAATTTATTAGTTAATATTATAAATTTGCTAAATATATTAGAAGAGGGTTCGAAATGAATAATTAATTGAATCAATATATTAGGATTAGCAAAAGATTTTGTATTAAGAATTTTTAGTACAATTACATGACTGATTTGATTTGAATTGATTTGAAATTATAATGATAATTAATTAAATACTTTTTTTTTATAAAATATTTTTAAATTTATATAGATCAATTTTAAAAACACTACTAATGATCTCATTAGTGGGTTTTTATGTTAATTACATAATTATTTAAAATTTAAAGATTATATAAATAATTAAAATAATGACTTAATTAAAGAGTTAAAGTTATATTTGGTACAAAACAAATACTAATTTAAAAAGATCGTTTTCTTCTCTCAGCCGCACCCTAAATTGTCGAAATGTTAATGTTGGGTCACTTCCGCGCCCTTCCTGCCTGCTGAAATTGATGTGAATTGAATGATCGTGACAGCTCTTCAAATCCTATTCAGTCTGATTAGATATGTCACTGAAACAATCCGTTCTGTCTCTCTTTT